ATTTTGCCGCCTTTTTACCATAGTGAGACACATTTTTGTTCGACATTTTAAAGCTGTCCTTGATACTAGAATCACATATAGACTCGTTGTGCGTAATAAATAATTAAGTACTATAAAATGAAATAAAACAAAATATTATACACTACAATAAAAAACTTATATACTCGTAAAAGATAATCCATTCGTGACTAACATCACTCGTGAATTAACATCTTTCACTTCTAGATAAACCATCTCTTTATCTTCTTGTCTAGTAAATAACTTTCACTAATTATTATAAATATCGCGAAATAAAAAATAAAATGAATTAGAGTTGGTTGTAGGTTCAGTTGTACAGGTGGTACTACTGCACAACTGACACGTAATATCAAGACCACGTTTGCATTTTTTGTCGTTTAAATATTAGCTGTGCCAGGAAAAATATCATCTATTGGAAAATGGTGGAATAAGTACATCGTCCAAACTTTACTAAAGTTGTAAATCCTAAAGCTACACCTTATAAACAGAAGTATCCAAGTATCGTTTTAATTTAAATACTGTGATAAGACTGTTAACATGGGCATTGTAGATAAGACTGCACCCACCTACACAGGTTTAAAGATATAGTGGTAGTTTGAGATGTAAGAATTTTAAGCTATTTGCGAATGAGTTCTACACACTGAGCTGTCGTGTAGACGTAGAAGTCGAATAGGTTTGTTTCACTATAATAAATTTTAATCCGCAATTGACGTCATGTTTCAGTACTCCCTACACATGTCCAACTCTTATTTTATCAGCATGACTCAGATTTAAAAGCTTTTGGATTAACTTTGTTATAAATTTTAATTCTGTGTTATCATGTTTAACACAAATACCTCGGTATTTTCCACATCTCCAAATATGCTCAACGAACCATATTTCACCTGATAGTTTTGTTTGTAATTAAAAATTGTTCGTAATTGTAAAAATCCAATAAATTGTCAGATATCGTCCAGCTGCACTTCGAATATTATTCCATATTCACTGACGTGTGAATTCGTTTCACATCAGGAACTACAGTATATTGAGTTAAACATACTCAAGAAGCCTAAATATTTAATAATTTCTAATATTTATAACACTCCCAGTGTGACTACGATCAACATTTCGTAAGGTGCCGACTATATTTACTTTCTATCACGTTTGAATAATAAAGCCGTCGTTATGCCTTTAGGGATAGATAAATGTAACATGTCCTGTGTAAATGTCACTTGAAATACAATAAGTATTATACTATTGTACACTAATTTATATCACCCTGGATTTTAGGTGATGCATTAAGATATATTTTTTTTACCTTTCTAACATATTTATGACTGCATTCTCCTATATGTCACTTTCAGCTACATTTGAGAATCGTCACCCTTGATGCCTTTTTAAAGCCGTGAATTCGGCATCTACATTAACTTGTAATGTAGTTGTTATTCGTCATTAACAATGGTCTTTATAATATTTTTCATTTGACAAATCTACATAAATAGCTACTTTTTGATCAGTAGATGACATTTTTCATTTTGGTATTTAATAAATAAATATCTATTATTCCTATTTCACGGACGGAGGGAGATATATTTTCTACGTTCTCAAGTAAACGTCGACTACGAATGTAAAGAATGTGGGTTATTCATCTTCAAGCTTCAATTTGTTGCATAGTAGTGTCCCTGTTACGCCAAAAACCACAGCAATCTAAAAAGTTTCTATGGATAAAACCACACTATAAATAATTAACATCGGTTTTCATAACGCTCGTCAGATCAGAAGCTATTTACTTTTCAAATGTAAGTTTAAAATATTTTCTAATATCGATGTATTTTTTTCTTTGTTAAAACTGATTTTATCAGTAAATAATGGTCCCATAACATGGATAATAATCTAACTTTCGTAACCAAAGATAACTAACATATGTATGGTACAAAAAAATCATAAAATAGATAGTTTAGTTGTAGTTTAATATTTTTCTTACACTAAAGTATATCGTTTACCTAATATCAAACAGCAGTTACATCCATAATTTTATGAAAAATAGAAAAATAAAACAGATGTTCAGTTTCATTTTTCCAGAGACCATAAAATATCGGTTTACGTTACACAAGTGTAATTAAAACATAATTATATCGTGGTGTAGTAAAAATGTACCACATACGTGTACATATTTACCGTTTCGTAGACTAGAATTCAGAGTCCGACATAGTTTAATTAGTTATCAATTTGTCAAACGAACAGCGTCAGTGTAATATTATATTATAACTATAGGGGCGTAGTGGTGCCGTCACCGCGTTCATGAAAACTGTTATCAGTCGCGTCGCTGAAAAACAGTCCCAAGTGAACATGAATTAATAATATTAACAAGTTTCAAGCTGTAGTAAAAAGTTTAAAAATTAAATAAATAAAAAAAGAATAATATCAGTAAAACATGATAGTAAGGGTGGTACTAATAACAGTAGTTCTTACTATAAATCACTCACAAAGTGGAAGAAACCTTAGAGAACTACACATTTTGCAATTAGAAAAAATTATTTTTTTGCCGTTTTGCCGAGAAAATCAACACTGGAAAAACAGAGGTTTAAAATTTTAGGTACATATAGGTAAAAGGAGTCATAAAAGTGTTAAACAAAACCAAAATGCTTGGATCAAGTGTTATAATAATTATTGAACTTTTATTTCTCAAATCCTTATCGTAGTGGTGCTACTAAGCCCACGAAAAGTTAAGAAAACATAGAAGACAATGGTTGAATGATGAATTAAGAACCACGGATTAGAAAAGGTGGAGGAGAAAAGTTAAACAAGGGTAGACTAAACAAAAATCTGCACACAGACGGACTTGGGTTATAAAACATGCAACTTTTCTAAAAAATTTCGCGTAAAATTGCATCTCAAACATTGTTTTAGAAGATATTGAGTAATGAGATTAACAATTAAAAGAAAAACGACATGCAGAGAAAATATTCAGATATATTTATATTTTTAATGTTTAAGACTGGGCATTGTTTGATCACAGTAATTCCATTGGAATTTACTAGTTTACCTCCAGTTTAGCGATCCACCCCTATTTTTAATTTATAGCACTGTCATAATTTGGTTAAGACATTGGACGTGCTTATGGGTTGTCCTTCAATTGAAGGACAACCCATAAGATCTGAGGGAATTTTTCTCTAAGAAATTTTAGATTAAGTTTTGGAATTTTGCTCCTTCGCATCTATTTTCGTGGAAGTAATGAACAGCGTTATGTCCGAACATTTACAAAAAAAAATTAATAATATAATAATAATAAAAACCACAATTCAGAATTGTTGCCTAAAAGTCCAGGGAAAATGTTGAGTCTTTTATAATCGTTTACACAAGAGGCGATTTCATAAATGTGGTCTGCTAGTTATACTCGTACGTACCATTCACCCATATACGATATCGTTAATTTTAAAATTTTTATTATCAATTGTTGTAGATTAATTACGTCATGATTATTTTTGTTAAATTTTAATCTTTAATGAGTGTAAAATACTGTTCTGTTTTTCGTGATTTACGTCAGTATTCCAAAACAAATGGTAATAAAAACTTTATATTACCAGTAAAATGTATACCTACTGTAATAGAATAAAAATGCATAATCTAAGCTCTTTTTGGTAAGGTAGACGTTTTGATTTAAGGAATGTCCCTTAATTTTGTAACTTTCTGGATAATCTATGTAGGAACATATTTTAGACCTATTTTGTAAACAAACATAGAAGAGTAACGTAAACACCTTTGATTTTTCTACGATCAACTGCATCTAATGGTTAAATTTATTTGCTGATTGGTTGTTATATTTAGCAGACAATAGCTTTTGCAAAACCAAACTTTAGTTTACCTCTTTACTTTGATAGCTAGTTTCACCGATGTCCATGTGGCCGAACTGTGATAATGATATGATACTTAAACCGAAAAAGTGATCAGTTCAACTTTTGATCACTTCAAGTTTTTGAAGTTTTAATCATAATAATAATATTTTCGAACAACCACGTTTGACTATAAAACTGTCTCTGGTTGTTTTGTTTCATGATAAAATATTTCGTTTCGAGAAAATTGTTTGTGAACATATATCCTTAAAAATAAAATTATGATGATTTGTCTATATTCTTTAGTAGGTACAAGTTTGTGAAAAATAAGTACAACAATGAACAAGTTTAAAAAGAAAATTGTACATGCTAAGGAGTACATATATATCATTTCATTCTAATGTTACTCAACTACCTTACTGCCCATTCACAATGGACATAAGACATAAGACATAAGAACGAGCGCATAACATAATTTACGTTTTTGGTTTGTGTCTGGCTTATGCTTATCTACGTTCACAGTGGACAGAGTGAACTCTGTAAGAATTGTTAAACTGCGCAAACGCAGAACAGAATAACTCCCGGCCATAGACAAAGCAAGAGAGTTTGTCTATGCTCCCGGCTAAACATAGAAACGGCTAACCTCAAACTGAGTCAATCAAAATATCTAACCTACAATTTCGTACGATATTCGAACTTGACAACTCGCAGTACAGAACAGACTCGCAGTGTGAAGCTTTGATTATATATATAATAATATATAAAACTATTCTTACTATTATTATTATTCAATAAAATATTTGGAAACTTAATAAAAAATTGGTTGAAGTTTATTTCGACAGAACTTCGTTGGCTTCTGAAGTAGTCCAACAAATCCCGCTTTTTTGAAAAATTATAAAATTATATTTTGTGATGTTTGTATTGTGATAACCTCTATAAAGTAAAAATCAGTGCCATAAATAACATCCCCTCAGCACCCATGCCATATAAGGTAACTGAACCCCATATGGCCTAGTGCCCAATATGGCATACTGGCTCTTTCTCATATATTTCAAACAAAATCTGGTAGATAGCGCCTGGAATACATTCTGGAACGTTTTTATCCCATATAGGAGCAATCGATAAAGTAATACTCCGTTTCGTTTACTTATAATGCAATTATTTATGATAGTGGTTTGACGAGTCAGTGTGCGCTCTTATTTTATGCCGGTAAATTTTCTCTGGATAGTTTTAATCTCAATTAAGTTATCAGTTTCATCTTTCTATAATTATGTGGCTTATTTTTTCCGCTTTTAAATGATCTGCATTAGTTGCACTTTCTTAACAGCTTTTCAGTTGCAATTACTGATAGCAAGTTCGCTTGTAATGTGGAGTCAATATGGTCTAGCGAGCTGTTGGGTACATACTATCAGTAGCGGCTCGTGGTCTTTTCGTTAGGTGAGGCAACAATTTCGTTTCAAAATCAGCAGGTATTAATTAACATGTTGGCAATTACTTTTGTTAAAAGACAGATTGTTTATTCGTTTTTATGAAAACAATACAAATAGAGTCAGTAACATATCTCTATTCTATATGGGTACACTTCTCGAATAAAAAACATTTAATTGCTTCAGACAAACCAACGAGAAGGTTTAAAGACTACAGAATTTGCTTTATTAGCATTATATATTAATTCGTATGATCTAGGGCTAATTTAAATATATTAATCAATTAATTAATAAAGTTCTGCTCAAATCTGGATGAGAGGTTCTAAATCTTTGACATACAATTGTTCGACGTAAGAAAACCGTGCTTAAATATTTAAACTTTATAAGAAATTCTGGAGATTATGGATTCTTATGTTGCTATCAGCATTGCAAAACTGACATTTTCATTGTCCTACTGTGTTCAAGTTAACTTAAAAGTTTTAATACATAACTTTGGCAATGCACATGCAGTGAACACCTTTCCTTGCGTCTAATTAATGCACAACATTCAGCATCCCTGTTCAGCATTGTGCAGTTTCACCGTGAGATTAAAACATTCGATCTGATTGGCTTAAGGACGGTAGGCGTTGGTGCCTCCGCTGGCGCTTTGATAAAGCACTGACGACTATTGTCTTACTCAAAAACATATTAGCACCACTGACTAATCATACTGAAGATATACGTCTATCTGAGGCATGCCTCTGTCTGAAGCTGGCCTACACGGCGATGATCAGTTCCTGTCGACAGCGCGTACTTCAAAATATGTTACCAAGACGCGTTTTAATAAATCACAGTGTTCCATATTTCCTATATCTTTAAAATATATTTGAAGTTAACAGATATTAAAACAAAAACTAATAGTCAATTTTTCCAGGGGAGGCACTGCCTCCCCTGCCTCCCCTGACGAGCCGCCACTGCATACTATAGTTCTCATTTGAGTTTTTTTGTGAATAAGCTGTTTTAAATTACGAAGAACAAAAAGCAACCTCACGGAAGAAGCAAGAAAATTGGTTTTGCAAGATGTGCCAAGAAGATGTGGTAAAAGATATGGGAACGTACTCAGTATATAAGAACACGTGCACGAGGAGTGCGTGGGTCTCAGTAAAAATGGTAAAGATAGATATTTTTATTTGTACTTATTGTGAAAATTAACAATTTGTTTGTCAATAAACTTTTTTTCGTATTAATTTTTGTTTTTTTTTTTCGATTTTTTAAAACAGGCCATATAGGGTACATATTGTTATGAAATAAACTTATACGCCGCCCCGGTACGACGCCTATGAGTTCTAGTATGTATGGCAATCATAACTTATTGTCGGTGACGGCAGCCGGAGAAGAGCCTGGAAGCGGATGTCGCGAGAGCAAGCCTAGAAGCGGTGACGGAGACCTTCGAGAAGGACCGCGTGGTTGTTTAAATGGGAACCATCGTCGGGAGCAGTTTGAGTTGTCCAGACAATGGGAGAAATCTAGTCAAATCGATTCCAGTCGAGTCGGAATTTTTCTGTACATAATCGTTGTAGAGTTAGTCGTGTAAATTGGAGTTATTAAGAAATAAAATTGTTGAGTTTTACCCACGCCGATTTTATTCATCGATCAACGTAACAATATGTAGTCAATTTGGCGTAAAGACACACTTTAATTATAATCGGGTACTGTTCGGCTTTACAATTTTGAAAATGTCTGAAATTTGAAAATTATGCACAAAAATGTAACCTCTTTCAACTCCCCCTATTACTCCATTTCAAGTTCTTACAAAAATTACAAAAATTCCCAAAGCTTAGGTATATAGGGTACAGTTACCTTATTTAAAAGCAGATAACCAAGGGGGAAAAATAGCCTGTCAGTAGTAATAACAAGCTTATACATCCGAATAATTTCTCGTACAAATTTGTTTGATTTGAATGAGTTTTTCGTCTCAAAGCAGGGGACAAAAATTATTAATTAATCCACAGTCGAACGGAATGTTATGATTATTATTAAATAAAGACGTGCTATTCTTGTTCTCACCCTTTCGAGAAAATGAGATGACTCGTTCTTAATTTGATCAATAAAAATGAACGGCCAAGTTTGACATCGAACATGGAAGCGCCGGTCCGCGTGTCGAACTGCTACCCACTCGTACACCACAACTGTAGAAGTATATTAATATTACTGTATAACATTTATATCATACAAACATACAATTCTTTAAAATGACGTCATCAAATTATTGGTGGAGATGATTAGCCAAATTTTGGTTGGCGTTTAACCATGATTTTTCTAATATACATACAAAATTTGACAACAATCGGCCAACAATTTCGGAGATTACATGTCTAATAAAAGTGAAAATAGATGCCAGACAAACAGACGAAAACGGGAGACTACTTTTTTCATACTGTAGGGGTCATGAAACGTCGAGAAAACATAAAAGGGGCATTCGTCTGATGGGCGCGATTACAATATTTCCTTAATGTTGCATGTAATCAAATTTCAAAAGTTGGGGTTAGTTATGCTATAAAGTTATAAAGAAAATGTTAATTGTTAACGTAGTTAACGTTTTGACTAAATTTAAAGTAGTGTATGTAAGTATGTTATCCTTTCTGTTGCGAAATCTCCACTGACTGTTATCCGAATAACGTTACTGCAACTGAAAAACACGTTTTTTTCTGAAATTTATCGTTACCGTTGTTTTACTTTGAAAAAGTCATCTAGTCGCTGACTTCCAGTTGCAAAAATGAAGAAATCCGAATTAATCGCTTCAATTTTTCTCTACTGACTGCGTGCGAAAAAACGTATAAAATCGAGTGCAAAACAGCAAAAAGTTACCGTGGTGAATCAGTGCATTAGAAGCACACAACATGGAGAAATCACAACGGAATGTTGTTGGTTTCAGCCGCACGAATCTAGCGAATGTACTTTACCTCCACTGTTACCAAGTAACCACGTTCATAACAACTCTATGATAAAACCTGACTCATTGTTAATCAGTTGTCCGGCGGATTCGAGCAGGTAGAGGCGCGTTGTGCTCGGCTCCGACTCGCGGCGTGTTTTCTCAACATCCACAAGTGGTTATCTTCACGTTTTTTATTGTTTACAAAAAGCAGCCGCACAGGAATTTGATAAGAGCGAGGAAATCTACCTACCTGTGAATAGTGTGTGTGTATGTGCGTTTGTAATCAATGTTTATCTAGACTTCCAATCGATATCGATTGTCCTTGGTCAAAAATTGGATACCTGCTATGGTAAGAAAATTTTTTAAGTTTTTTTTTATTTTCAGGAAGAGGAAGTATATGTATGTAGATGAACGATAAATGTACTTTGACTTCAGGTGTTTTGATAACGTTGTGTTAGCGTGCTTCTTGTTTTTTCTTTGTTGTGTTTTTGTCATGTTTTTGTTTCCTTGTACGTCATACGCTGGATACGGTGTGTTGCAAAATCAATGAGACTTTCATCAGTAATTAACCTAAATAGTGAACGTGACAACTAATGTTCGTGCTTCGAACTGTTCTTGTGATCAGTGAACGACTTTTGATTGACTTCTGAGTAATACAGTTTGGTTTGAGTTGACGGATAAAATTTAACAGATTTTGTTTAGTTTTAATTAAACATCTATGTACTTCTTTTTGTTTGGTACGTTAATTGCAAAAGTTAGAATTAAATAGTAAGTCTATGGAGTATTACATTTTGATTAGTAAAGTAAAAAACTTTAAAGAGTTTAAATTATGTTATTTCTAGACACTACGAGGTAAGCGCCAAATATTCTCGGCCTAACAAAGAAAGAGACCTGATGGAAAAAAATTAAATATTTATATTTCAACATAATCTCTGTTAACTTCAATACATTCAAAACTACGTCCAACTAACAGCTCTATGCGTTTAAAAAAATTATTTGAATCTTTATCACTAAAATGATGTAGTACTGCCGTTTGCACCTCTTTATCCGTCCAAAACGTTTTCCTTGCAAGTCGTTTTTTAACTTAGAGAACAGTTAATAATCGTTCGAAGCTAAGTCAGTACTGTAGGGTGGGTGATCAAGTTACTCGAAGTCACAGGCCCCTATAGCAGCTTGAGAAAGACATGCGGTATGAACGGGCGCATTTTCATGAAGCAATCGAACGCCTCTTGTTAATTTTCTCGGCCTTTTTTCCCAAATACGTTCTCCTAATTTATGCAGTAAGTAAGCATAATATGTAGCGTTGACAGTGGTATTTCATCCTTTAAAATTAATCAACAACATTCCTTTACAGTCCCAAAAAATTGTGGCCATGATTTTTTTGGAAGATTGGTTCGTCTTCAAGGGTTTCTTACCCCATGCGAAATAACTGTGATCATTTTTTTTAGTAAAATGTGAAGGACAAGCTTCAGCAAACACAAAAACCATCCTGTCCTTAATACCCTTTAGAGCAATTCCATCTTTTGATAAGAATTTGATTGCCGTTCGATTTTCAATTTTAAACAGGCATGATGAGTCCATAATTTTTCAAATATTACTCCTCAAATGTATCAAAACTAATGGGCAGTGGGGCTTGAAATTTTACACACATACTGCGGGGACCCTCTAGTCTTTTATGAGTTGTACAAATTTCTCGACGAGCAATCGCAAATATATCAGGCCGAGAATATTTGGCGCTTACCTCGTAGTATACACGTGTTTCGCCACACAGTTTCTCTTCTGCCTGAAAACGGTACTGTATACCGAAACACGTGTAGCAGTGTCTACAAATAAAATAATTTAAATTTTTTAAAGTTTCTTGGTTTACTCATCAAGTTAATATGGAGTTTAAACAAGTAAATGCCCCATCAATACAAATAGGTGATCTTAATTTCTGAGATGAATACTTGAAATGCTACTGAAAAATGTGCGCAACAATGAAAATAATGAGACGTAAAGTCAGATGGATGTAAATAGATTACATTTGTAATAACTAGTTCAATTGTAGCACAAAAGGTTTAAAAGTGTAGGCTCTGTCAATTCCGTGTCATAACGCCGGACGAAGAATAAAATTTTAGACGAGAGGCCTAGGAGAGATCTACTCTGCTTTTTGGAAAGAAATAGAATAAGCTCACGTGCATTAAACACAGCCTCCCTTTATATAAAATTTTGTTGTTCATGCGGTACATCCTATTTTAGACCCAACTTTACCAAAAAATGTGAGGTATACAAACGAAGAGCAAAATTCTAGATATTTAATACCCAAAAAGAAACGATTTTCTGTTAACAACCAACATTTAAGTTTACGTTCAACTTACTTGGTATGTTTTGCAATTTCCGTGGTTGTTCGTTTATTATATTTATGGTTGGTTTAAGTAATGTAAAACGTGAACCCCTAAAATAATTTTTACTGGAACGCTTCTGTCTGTATATACTTTGACCAAAACTCTTGTGCGGTGTCTGCCTCAGGGGTCTATTGACTTCCACTAATTTTTATGAGGGCTGAACTACAGTAAACTCACTTGACATACACCTTGTAAATCTTTTATGACTTAAGCGGCTTAAACAAAACCACCCTTATAAGTCAAACTGGCTATTGTAAGCTTTATGGACCCGAACCGCAAGGATTATTACTGTCCATTATTGCCATAACTAAGCTGTGAACTGAGTTAAGTTATACAATAGTCACTTTGAGTTATAAGGGTGCTTTGGCTTAAGCCGTGTAAGTCATAAAAGTTTACAAGGTGTATGTCAAATGGATTTATTGTAAAGACCCTTGCAAATTCGTTGCAGTCGAGATGGCTGGGAGGGGGTTTCTTGAGATGGACTGTAATGAAAATTTTACTGCCATCTGTATTACTCGGGGTAAGTAGACAAGTTTACAACGGTGGGTGGTTAAACCCTTATAAAAATTAGTGGAAGTCAATAGACGCGTGAGGCAGACTCTGCACAAGAATTCTGGTTAAAATATACCACAGCATGATAAATTCATGAATAAATAGATATTTTATTGAAATTCTTAACGAATGTCAGAGTAACTAACATGAGTTAAGAATTTAATTTTTTTAGTACTGTAGTTTTTCCTTGCATATATTTTTATTTTTCAATTTCAATTTATTTTTATATTTATTTTCAATTTCTATTTATTTCTATATTTATTTTCAGTTTCTATTGTGTGTATCATATACATTTAAACAAGAGAATTTAAAGTGAAGAATTTCAATGTTAATCCTTGTAAATGTCGCATAAATTGAAAATGTTACCTTCGTTTCGCGATATTGTTGATATACACAAAACAAGTAGTTTGGTAAAGATTATAATGACAACATCAACATAAACATTCAACAAATATTCGGTATAAATTGCAATATTAGGTAATCAGCAGGATACAACATATATATCAGGTAATAAGCAGGATACAACAAATTATCGACCTATAGCCATTATAAACAATTTCGCAAAGATTTTTGATTGTATTTTAGCAGATGTTTTATACGTACTCACACAGCCTCTTCTATCATAAATAGGCAACACGGATTTGTTAAAGGCAAATCACCTTGAACAAACCTATGTGAGTTTGTTCAAATTTTGTCGAATGCATTAAATGACGGTCTACTAGTCGATGTAATTTTTACTGACTTATCGAAACCATTCGATATCGTCTATCATAATTTGTTAGTTGATAAGCTCAGCCAGTTCGGCTTATGTGATGGCCTAATTTCGCTTTTTAAATCCATACCAACTGATCGTACGCAATATGTAGAATATAAAGATTATACATCGTCGCAATTTTCCACAATTAGTGAGGTTATACAAGGATCTACTTTGGGGCCAATTTTATTTAACTTTTTTGATCAATGATGTAAAACAGCATATTGATGGTAATATTTTTCTCTATGCGGACGATTTTAAAATTTTTAGATTATTAAGGGTGCTGAAGACTGCCGCAGATTGCAGCAAGACACAAATAAGTTTACAATGGAGTCAATGTAATAAATTAAGAATCAATAACAAAAATTGTTTTAGCATGCGTTTTTCGCGTTAAGATAAACCAGCATATGCACTTTCCTTTTGTAGGTATATGTGCAAAATATAGAACAAACTATCTAAATATTGTAATATAGATATATTTTACAGCAATTTTAACAATTTTAAACATAATTACAATAACAGTATTTTAAGAATATCTTCATATCATATTCTGCTATGAGTTGCTGACCCTTAACATTCTCCATATTAATATGTTAAGTTATTTTTAAGAAAGGTAAATAGCTAGTGATAATGTACCATTACTGTGTACTAGTTGTGATTTATATATAAGATCTGTATACTCTGTACATGTTTTATCCAAATTTGGACCTTGGCTCTGCTGGATAATAATAAATATTATTATTATTATTAACAGAATATTACAGAAAAAGATTAAACGTAACTATTTTTAAACGAGTAAGAGCAAACTGTTAACTTTTTAAGAGTAACGGTTAGATGGATGCCTAGAAAAGCTGAGAATAGCACGAAACCTCTCTTGTTATATCCATCGGTTTTACAGTAATAAACGTTTTACAAAATTTATTCAGGACAACTTGCACATTAAAGACGTACTTCTGCAGTTTTTTGATGCAAACTAATGCAGTATTTTATTCTTGGGAATCCACAAGAAAGATATCAGAAATTATGCAGTAGTATAGTTCGGCTAAAAATATAGGGCGGTTATGGCTAATTGCGACTCTCCTTGCGGTAATTTTTACGAGAAATATGAAATTTTATGCGGGATCCGTTATATCTTTGGTCGTTGGCTACTCTTTTCATAAGCAGTTTAAGTAGTTCTTGTGTATAAAATTTCAAATTTCGTGATCTACATAAATCTTGGGAGGTTTTTTTGCAGATCCTTAATATTTTTCCAATAGTTTTTGAAGTTGACTTATTGCAAAGCAATTAAAATTATAGTATTTTGCTTCGAGTTAAAAATATTTCCAAATTTTAGATTTCGTTGAAAAATTTAAACGTTAATTACTGTACAATTCGAGTTTTTGTGAAAAACTGAAATGTACAGTGTAGTGAAAACGCAGCATGCTAATATTCTCAAGTTTAACAATCTTTTGCAAGAAAGTACATTTTTCATGTTGCAAAATGAGGAATCTTTAATTAGTTATCTCCGTCGTTTGTCTATCTTTTCGCCATACAGTACAAACATCATCTCCATTATTTGAAATTAGAGGTTTAATTTAAGGTTATCGTCAAAATGATCAAATGCCAACCAAAATTTGTCTGTTTATGTTCTCTAAAAAACTGATGCCATCATCGAAAGGT